AGGTGGGGGTCAGTCTCTTCTCCCCGGTACCTAGCAATAGGACAGGAGGAAACTGTCTCAAGTTGCGCCAGGGGAGGTTCAGGTTGGATATTAGGAAGATCTTCTTCACTGTTAGAGTTGTTAGACATTGGAACAGGCTCCCCAGGGAGGTGGTGGAGTCACCATCCCTGGAGGGGTTCAAAAAATGTTTAGATGTGGTGCTTTGAGACATGGTTTAGTGGGTTTAGCGGGCATGGTGGCATCGGGTATATGGTTGGACTTGATGATCTGTGAGGTCTCTTCCAACCACAATGATTCTATGATTCAATCTGACTGCACTGGGGCAGCACAGCACAGAAATGAATCTCTGCTTGAGAAGACCACAACAGTCACTAAACAATTAGTACATATCCAGAAAAACAAGTGTCCAACAGAAAGAATACAAGGAGAAATTAATACAAGTTTCTAGAGAGAATGAAGCTGAAATCTCCTACCAAGCTCATCACCTGACTCCAATGAGGTGCACTCCCCTCCCCACACATAGCCAAGCAACTTACTAGACGCTGGTAAAAAGACCATAAGTCTAACCTTATGGTGGGGACAAGATGACAGCAAAAACTGTCTCAAAAAGAAAGCAACCAGACAGCTGCAGTTCCAACTCTTGCCAACACTCCCAAGGAAAGCAGTTGCACCACAGGGTGGCAACTTACCGTTGCAAGTACTTGCAGAAACACTGGAGCTCCTGAAGGGTTTCCTTAGCAATCTGGAAAATCTCATCCTCCAGAAAGAGGTCCATGACGTGACCACAGACTTCTTCTGAACACCGGGCAATACGGGCTTGCCGGTCTCTTTCTAAGGCACATCTAATTCAAAATTAAACAAACCAAGACCTCTAGCAAGGTGGAGACTGCAGTAAATGCCGGTACAATTAGCCAAGGTGCAAACACAGAAAACCATCACATTTAGCAAAGGGGAGGGATTTTCCAAACTTCTACTCTATGGGCCTTCTAAATAAGACCTGTAATCAGTTAGAAGTCATTCAAGTTTTACACTGATCACAGGTTTCCAAAGAAGGGTCTACAAGACAGCCCACAGCCGAGCTGTAAGGGAGTCAGAAGAAAAACAAGCACACAGGGCAGCCATGTCCTAGAAAAAGCCTCTATTTCCTCCACCCTGGAGGGCCACTACTGCCCAACAGAGTGCGACTGCAAGCTGGCAGCCCACTGTACAATCAAGTACACTTTCCCTCTCTTAAGTAGCTTATTGAAGATGACTTCAAGAGAAGGTCAGGTAAGAAGCCCACCACTCCCTGACAAATTCTTACCCTTCTTGCCCTTAGGAAAGCATCCTACAGCAAAGTATAGCATACAGTATGTTGTACGTACTTTAGCTCATTGGTTGAAGCTTCTTGAATACTCTCCTTTATTACTTCTTCCATTAACTCCATACCCACCAACTGGCTCAACTGCTTAATTAACTGTTCTCTTTCCTGCTTTTGCCTGGAAGGAAAGAGAAAAGATTTACACAAGTGAAACGATTTACACTGGCAAACCTGCTGCTTAGTTACACAAGCTCTACACGCAGTGTCAGACCGTTAATTCGCCTAAAATTGAGCTCCCGCTAGCTGGTTTCTCTCTCTAAACAGCTTTGTATAAAGCCAGGCTTCGCTCAAAAATACAAATAACAATGGAGTTATTTTACTCTTATCCCAGTAAGGTACAGACAGGCAGCTCACTCGGAAGGTAAAGTTCCTGCATACAGCAGGGCCATGATCCAACTCCCTCACTGGAAGCTCTGGATGAATAAAAGTTCCCAAAATTCCCACCCACTGTTTTCACAGTGGTTCCACGAGGTCACCAAAATACTAACTATCAGATCACCTGAGAACACAGAATGGACAGCCTGTCTGTGTGATCCGAGGGCAGTTCAAGGTGAGACAAACTGGGCACTATCAGCATGGCAGAAAGACACAGGGCCCGAGCACACGTGCAAGGACTCAGGGTGGCACTGGCTGTTGTTACGTTGCCTAAGGGTGTAGACAGCCCACCCTGCCTCACAGCAAAAGCAGCAACTCACCTCTCTTCCTCCACTCTGCGCCTTTCCTCTTTGACACGCTCCCTTTCCGCGCTAAGCATGCTTCCAGCCACTTGTCTGAGGATCTCCCCCATCACTTCAGTCATGAGTTCCTCCACGGCGGCCTCTGAGGTGCTGTGCAGAAACAGCAATTCTCAAAGTCAGAAAGTTTTCATTCAAAGCCTTATGTTTGTGCTTTTCTCAAGCATACCCTTGCTTCATTGCGGCGGGCTGACTCCAGTCACCAGCCAAGCACCCGCACTGCTACTGGTTCACTCCCCTCCCCGCATCGGGACGGGGAGAAAACAGGAAGAACAAAAGCAGGAAAACTTGTGGATGGAGATAAAGACACTGTAATAGGTCAAGGTGAAAAAAACCCCACACCCTCAACAAGCAAAGCAAAGGCAGTCAGCCACCACCTCCCACAGGCAGACCAATGCCCAGATAGTCTCCAGTCAATGGCCACCCTGCAAGCTAGAAAACCTCACCTTCTTCTTCCTCTAACTCAGTTTTATTGCTGACCATGACATCACGTGGTAAGGACTTTAAGTCAGTCTGGGTCAGTTGTCCTGGCTGTGTCCCCTCTCAGCCTCTGGCACATCCCCAGCCTACTCACGGGGGTGCAGAGTGGGAAACAAGGAAGGCCTTGACCCTGTGCTGTTCAGCAATAACCAAACCATTGGTGCATTAATACTGCTGTTTTGGTCACAAACCCACATCTACCACTCTACCAACCACCTTGGAGAGGAAGTGTTATTTGAAGCAGAGAAGCAGCCAGACCTGGACTTACTCCTCTTGCCCTGCTTCAGGCAATCCTCCCTTGCACAATACACGTTTCTTGTGGCACTGGTGTGAGTGTCATACAAGGCAAGGTTTACAGAGGTTCCATTACAGCTACCCTTCCATTAGGCTAGCTGGTGTGTACCAGAGAGGTGGCAGACATCTGAGGAAAGGTCTTACTGGTACAGTGGAGGGAAAAACAGACTATCTCCACTAAAGACCTTGCCTTGCTTAGTTTTATGATCTTCACACAGCGTGCTGCTACGGCAAATTGCAGCTTTGATGACAGGCTCCAGGAGTATCAGCAATAAATCATAGAATCACATAGAATCGTTTAGGTTGGAAAGGACCTTTAAGATCATAGAGTCCAACTGTAAATTTAGCACGGCCAAGTCCACCACTAAACCATGTCCCTAAGGACCACGCCTACAGGTCTTTTAAATGCCTTCAGGGATGGTGACTCCACTACTTCCCTAGGCAGCCTATTCCAATGCTTGACAACCCTTTTGGTGAAGAAATTCTTCCTAATATCCAGTCTAAACCTCCCCTGGCGCAACTTGAGGCCATTTCCTCTTGTCCTATCACTGGTTAGTTGCGAGAAGAGATCAACCCCCACCTCGCTACACCCTCCTTTCAGGTAGCTGTAAGATGCTTTTTACCAAATGGCGGCAGTCACGTAAGCTGCTCCCGCTCTGCTGACTTCTCTGCACTCTCCTTTGAGGACGTCGTGCACAAGCCCATCCACCACTTCGGCGATGTCCTACAACACAGGAGAGGAAGCAGCTGAAATGAGACGCAGTCCTGCCTAGGATGGCCTGGGGGCACACGTGAATTGGGAGTAAGGCTTTTCAGCCTTCTTTAACTGACTGTAATTGGCAACAGCATCTGTATTTCTACTTACAAACTCATCTAAAATTTCCAGGCTATTGTGGTTGATTATCTAAAAGGTTAATAACAGCCCAGAAACAAAAGCAGCTTGCTGTATTAAATATGGGCAAGTCAAGTTAGGAAATAATAGCTAAGAAAAGTTAATTTTGAGAGGGATTCCTATTTTCTTACTGAACAGTTTCTCTCATTCTAGCTGGTTTAATTCCAAATGACCAGATCTAATCTTCACTGAAATGTAGCCACATTTAGGTAGAATATGGCAGCCGTACTTTACAAAGCAATGAGACACTCTGAGATGGGTTCAGCATTAGTACATATCTGAACATGTGTGGGAGGGAGAAAAAGGGGAACAGCACAGATACACAGGGTACACATTCAAGACCTACCATTAATAGTCATATATCCACAAGAAGAAACTTCGTCATGTCTCATTTGAAATACATGCTATTAAGAAACAGCTCAATATTATTCACTAAAGCAAAGGTTTACTTACTAAGTCAAAGATAACCACTTTCTACCTCTCTCCTTAGAGGTTTCTCAAATAAACGCTAAACAGACAGGACTGTTGGAGCAAGCACTGACATTTCAGGCTTGCATCTGAAATCACCCAAGACTGTCTCTTTTCAGAATAGTCCAAGGAAACAACTTCTCAAAGTATCCAAAGCACTGAGGCAGGGAGTGTCTCCTTTTGATTCTACATAACACATGCAGATTCTGGAAAACTGAAACAACCTAAAAACTCTGTTACCTTTTATTATATTTCACAGATCTTTCCCAAATATTTCACGATGGGTTTAAATTTCCTTACTGTGTCTGTGTAGACAGGCTGAGGTTTTGAAGAGAGAAGCTCAGGTTGTCCAGCAGGTTGGGAGATTGCCTGCACAGGAGACAGAACTGGCACAAGCTGACGAGGTATCAGGGAGGGCAGAAGATGAGCTGCGGGCTGGACTCTTACTGCTGTGGTATCTAAATCCACACCTTTGCTTTCCACTCTTCCTTCTTGGGAGAGGGGGGGAAGAGCAAGATTAAGGACACCAGGTCAGTCACAAATAGAAGCAAAACTATTCTTATCGTCCAAAGCTGGCTTGTCTGATAAATCTCATCAGGTCATAAAACCAGTCCAAAACAGAAGTTAAAAATGTATGATAGAAACTAAATTATATTCACGAATATTTCATACAAAACATTCAAGAATTCCATGCACATTACCTTCAACACCAATTACATACATTTCCAATAAAACAACTGTTTTAAGTCAAGTACACCTAGCATCCACACACACCTCTTGAACAAATGCAAAATATCTGTACTTTCAACAAGGACCGGAAAAGCATACATTCAGCTAACTTGAAAAACAACAAGATTATACACACAGTGGGAACAAACAGTTGCAATACAAAAATCCGCAAATTGAAAATGGAAGTTGGCTGTCTAAAGCAGCCAAATATCTGGTTATTTCACCTATGTTGGTAAAATCGCACTAATTTCCCTTAGGTCATTTCTTGTATTGGGAAAAAGATTTTATTAATCAGGTTGCTTCTTCGCTTTTACAGCTATATAAGTACATTTAAATCAAAACATGCTTTCATTACAACCAAATTTCCATGCAAGTTCAACCTGTATGAGCCAAGAACAGTTTCTGCTTTGTAAAAGAAAACTACTCACAGAGTTGACTCAGCAGTATGCTCCTGAGCAGCATCTAAAATGCATGTTTGCTCTTACCTGTTGCTTCCGCTGTTGATTTCTGGCTACTACTAGCTTGATCCACAGAGGTGCTTCCACCAGTATATTTGTTCTGCCCGTTGAAGCTGGACACAGGCATGTGGTGAGGCACCGACGGCAATGGCCCACCATTTACAACTTCCCCAACCGAGACAGTTAGCTTCTGGCTGACAAACATTGATTTATGTGGTTTGGGTAATCCATCCGGCTCCAAGAAAGAAAAACGTAAGCACTGGGGAAAGATAAAAGAACAGGAGTACATCCTCAAAGCTCCAGTAACCTATAGGTTTTGAGTCAGACAGCTTAGTCGGGCAAAGCAAGACGTACTGCAGATACTCCCTGTAGCCTGGATCTTGAGCTTTGGTTGGAACCTGAGCAGGGAAGCCTCACAGCTATCCTCCCAGGACAGAGTACAAGCTGCACTAACATTTCTGGGCACCCTTGTGGACTATTCTGTCTCTTTCTCCTTTTAACTTTTATCCACTATGCATATTATCCATACACATTTTACCTAGACCACATGCCACATTAAATAGACGTCAGGGCTATCTACAGAAGTCATTCTAAAAGCTGCAATCTTCTTCCAATCTTGGCACCTGTAGTCTGGATAATTTATTATTTCAAAACAGAATGTTCACAAGAAATACAGCATTCTAACTGGCATGCTTAAGTTTTTTTTGCCTTCTCCAGTCTCTTGAGATTGGAAGTCTGTATGAGTATACCTTACAATGTAGGTTATTTCCATGTCAGACACTCTTACCTGGAAACCACTGGCCTCCAACATCCTCTAACAACTGGTTTGCACTGTTCAGTTTCATCCCACCCTACATGTGTCACCGTAATGCCAGTTCCCCAAGAAGCAGAACCATATCCTCGTTTCCTACAGAGCTGCAATTTAGTGCAATTCAGCCACAAGACAGGAACACAAAACTATTTATTTTTTCCTACTGGGTTATCCACAACATCTCTTTCTAGGGAGGAAGTCCTCGCCGTCCAATGGAGATCGAGCTCAATATGCAGTCTCTCCATTGGGGGAAATGTCTCTCTCATTTTTCACCACTTCCCAGAAGGCTGAAGGAATTCTGTATCCTTGAAATCCCTTGACACCTTATCATACCAAGTCAAAAAAGATGTACAAGTGCAAAAAAAGCTATTGTGGGAAGTCACAGCAGTTACAGAGACGCAAACAAAAAGATGCAAAGATAGAGAACTTTTCGTAGTTACATCAATAAAAATAGAAGATTATTAAAAGTCGCATCCATCACTATCCTAATTCTTTGCTTACAGAGCCCAGGCCCTACCCTTTGCCTGTTCTTTTCTTTCTCTGGTTGCAAAGTGCAGGAGCAGCCCATCCACTTTAACGCTTCGCCTAACATCAGTCTAACCCCACTAGGCATTGTAAGACACAGACATCCTTTTCCTTACACTTACCCATCAGATACACTCAGGCCATAATAACTTATAAAATCAGTTGCTTCCTCACAATCTTTGAACAGTAGCATGCGGACCAGGTGATCCAAGGGAAACACTGTACATCTTTGGGTGCTCACAGTGTAGGCAATATTGAGAGATTTGAGAGCATCTTTACGAATCTGGGGGAAGATAAAAGAAAAAGCCACATACCTACTAAGTTAAAGAACCCAAAATGACAGGAAAATCATGTTTAAAAGAAATCAGTACTTTGTCATCATATATCCACACAAACAACTATTCAGAATTAACTTTCTTCTTAGATTCTGTGCACTGGGTTTCTAGTTTCCGCTCCTCTTCGATGCTGCTCATTTTGAGCATATCCCTCTGCAATTCTTGTGCAGAAGAAAAGCTTTCAAGGGCTTCTGAAAATGCAGGCTCCTATTTGCTTTGCAAAAGTCTCAGGTCTGCTTCTCTGCTTCCCAATTATTTTCAGGAGAAATAATACATATTTGTACACAGTTATGGGAAAAGAATGCTAAGAGCATTTTAGTATTTGCCTTTTATATCACAGTAGAAAACTCTTGATAAAATTTTAAACACTTCTGAGGAAGCCGGAATAAGATTACTTTTAAGGCTAAATATCTACCAAGTTTTCTGCTAAGAAGATTTCCTCCCAGAAGCCCCAGACTGTTTTACTTATTAACACTTTAAAAAATATCCATCTGCCTTTTTCTCACCTGGTTGAAATAACAATGTAAGAGACAGGCATTTAGATAGGAAGCTGCCTGCACTAACTTGAAAAACCTCACAAAGTTGTTGCTGTTTAACGCAGCAAAAGCTTGAACTGCAAATCTAACTTCAGGAGAGTTTCTAACCTCTGGATGAAACTGCTGTACTTCTCTGTGGAGACAAAAAAGACAGAGACAAACCTTTTGCTTCAATATTAACAATCAAAACTCAACAGGAACTTGCAAGAAAATCTAATTAAAATTAGGAGGTTTAAGCAAGACGCATAACTCCTGTCCAAAACAAACAGCTGCGAATTAAATTCGCAGCATTATTTACTGATCATCAGTCTTCTAATGATGTTTGCATAATCAGCATGTCATTATTTAGGTACATCACTCCAACGTCTTGGGAGGAAGGCAGTTAAGAGATTGACCAGAAAAGCAGAGTATGACTCTGCCTGCAAAACAGGGTTTGCTTGGTTGTACTGCACATAAAGTAGTGAAGCTTGGATACCACTCTGGGAAGAGAAACGAAAGTTTCCTTGACTGAGAATAGTGAAAATTTAACTTTTTTCTGGTTGGTTGGTTTTCTTACTACCTGCAGAAGCTCTAGTGAGTTATTCAAGGAGATAAAATGAAGCTTTTTATTTTCTCAAAAAACGCACTTTTTAAAATGACCCATTGAGAAATTACAATAAAACATTACTACAGTACCCTTTCTTTGGCAAAAGAATTTTGCACCTAAGCTCTTCACTTCCATTGCCAATTTGTCTGGACTTAATCCTAATCTCAATTCTTCCCAGAGGCAAAGAGAGAAAACAAGTGATATCTGTTGTTCCCACCTGAGAATATCACCTTTGTTGAGGTTCAGCAAGACATTATAACCTCTGAACTCCGCTTCACTCTTGCAGTAAATCCCCTTGTTAGCCAGGTCCTGATACATCTCCTTCAAGCTCTGCAGGCATTTAGTCATGTTCTCATTGTTGATTTTGGCATCAAAGGAGGACATGGGCTCTTCACACAAGTGGTGAGCACAATGGATGTGAAAGCGAGTGCATTTCTCAATCAGAGACACCATCAGCGGGTTGCAAAGATGTTGCTGGGTTATATCCTAACCAGAATGACAAAGAAAGCATTGCACGTATTTTTAAACTACAGTTGAAAAGCATGGCAATCTGGCACTACCTTTGGAAAATTCATTTCAACTGTGCTTTGAATCACTTTCAAAACGTTTGAATTACTATTCCTTTTTGCTTCATTTTTTACAGCATTATGTGATCTTTTGCTTTCTATCATCAAACATCTCCATCCAGCAGTGCTTACCTTTCTTATTCCACGAGTCCTGTTCCAGACAAAGTCATACCATTCTCGGTAGTTTCCTTCTCCTTGATCCATAATGTTTGTCACTAAATAGTCCATGGTCATGCTCAACACCTCAGAGGGTCTCAATTCATGGGGCAAAGGTTCCTCCTGATCTGCTGAAGACCTGCTATATTCCTTGATTGCTGCCGCATGATCTACCTGCAACATATGGAGAAAAGAATCAAAATCCAAGGAGTATTTTCAACTTCTCAGGAGTACAGAGGATTTCATCCCACCCATGCCTTTACTTTACTAAGGAGCAGACTATTAAAGGAGTTTCTCCACTGTTCACACTAACAGCCCACGTCCATTCTGCTATGACAGCAAATATATTTTCTTTTATGACAAGATCCCCAAGTGTTGACAGTTTCAAACTCATAACCTTCAAGACAATGTATACTACTGCCCTATAGTTTCAGAACTATAGCTGCAGACAGGCTTTTAGAACTAAATAAAATACATGACTTGGAGTGAAAATGCAGTTCTCTAGCCTTCTTGTTTTACAACGGGGAATTGAAAGACATTAATGAAACAGCCTCCAGAATTTTCCACCAGAATTAACTGTGTAATCAACTAAACAACACTGATCGCTTTACATAAGCAGCAAGCAAACAGACACCCTGTGAACAACAAACCCCGGTATACAGAGTGCTCATACCTTGTCAGTTCCTAGAAGCAATTCAAAGACACTGAGCTGATTTCTTGTCTCCCTCATGTAGCGCTCCTTTTCAGGACACATGTCAGGGCAAGTGCCAACAACAGTTTTTGCTTTGCCAAGATCAGTCCTTTTTATTCGAGCTAAAAAAATAAATAAATAAATTTGAACAAACACTAAGCATCTCTCATTTGTTTTCACGACAAGCTATTATCCTGATGTGCCAACAAACCCCTGAGCATGCCAGATGCCTCAGCTAGAGTCTGTACATTGGTTAACGGATGGATGTCAAGAAGTGTATTGCTAGGCCAACAAAAAAAGTTGGTGGGAAAACATCTCTAGAAATTCCCATCTACCTCAAGGCCGTACCCATCTCTTGGCATGGTCAGAAACACACAAGGATGGGGTTCTCCCACTTTGGGGTCTGGCCCAGGGCTGCACCACCCCTTTGGGCAAGTTTCTCCTACCGTCGCACTTGCATATCGAGAGTTTTGCTGAAAAGACTGAAGCCTCTAAAAGATACTCAATATTTTGTGTCCTAACTAAGCACTGGCTATTTCACAATTCCACGTCAAGTGGATGAGAAATCTGCTTGTCAATATTAAAAATAAGATCTTATATTAAAAGTAGAGTCAGCTTTGAAATGGCAAGATCAGGATGGAAGGGTTTACAACCCGGCACTGTGAAATAGAGGGCAATTTCTTGAAATAGTTACCAGCCGTGTAGTAGTTTGAATTTAGAGAAACACAGTTCAGCTTTGGGTTGCTTTCTCCAAAGAGCCTGCAGGGATGCAAATCTCCCTACAAGGTCTGCTTCACAGAAGGTGAGCAGTCTGATATTCACTTTCCACAAGAAATATGCATATGCAATAAGTAGAACAGAATTTTTCATGTTCTACAAGGAATTAATGTATATCTGTACAATAGAGGAGTATTTTACGGACTGCTCCATGTTAAACTCCCTCTTTAAAGCCATTTCCGTAATATGATAAAAGCTTTGCAACAAACACCAAACACTTATTTCTTTCCAGCAGAGAAGCAGATGTTACACTCATTAACTTGTGTAATTACCTTGTCGCATGATTTTGTCCCTTTGGTCCAAAAGGCGGTATCTTTCTTCAGATGTCTCAGCCACTAATCCTACCAGGTTACCAAGAGATGACAACGAAGCTCCCAAGGCCTCTGAGCTCTGCCCTTCAGAACTAGAATCAAACAGATCTACTTCAAACTGCAGCGCTTTTCGAAGACCAGGCTTCTTTGCCGGAGAACTAAAAATAGATTTTTTTAAAAAATCAGTAATACACTACTGCACGCCCCAGCCTTAATCAGTTCGCTGTTCTTTAGGACATCAACATCTCTGTTTACAAGAATATTTTGTTCACAAGGCAATGTATCAAATAAAGTATGTATCAATGTTCTAAGCTCGTTATGAGCTAACACTAGCACTGGGAGTTAATCTGGTTAAATCCTCGGCACTGCCTTGACAACACTGCCAAGCATTGTTGATTGTGGCAAAAGCTCCAGCCTTTGTACAACAGAAATGGTATTACTGAACGTCTTAGAGCGGACAGAACCAGATGGCTGTTGCAGCATTTTTGCATCACCATGGCACAGTAGTTCGCATTTTAAGCCAGGAACTAGCCTGCTGTTGGTGGCGGG